GACAGCTGTGTCACCAAAGCCCACCCAACATAACAGCTTACATAACATAGAAACCTGGAGTACAGTACATAGCCCGCCAGCAGCACAAGAAGTTGAAGCGTGTTCTTTCCGGGCAGCTCAGGTAGTCTGAGCCTCTTCCAAGCCGCCTGGCTGTTCTTTGATTCTTCCAAGAAGCGTGGCTGGTCTGCTTCTTCCAGGCAGCTCGACTTCTCTCTGTCTCTTTTAAGTGACTTGTCTGGTCTGAGAGTGTCTCTCAGCAGTCCTTACAGCTTGTACATGCTTGGGAATGGGGCCAAGAGCTAGTGGATCTGGTCAGTATCAGAGACTTCCTAAGTCCTTTGAATTGTTTTTTTTCCTGTGCTCTAGGAGCTTCCCTGCAGGATGGGATGATTCACATACCCACCTTAGAACATCCAGTTGTTTCACCTCTGTGGTGGGTATTCCTTCCACCTGTGACCTTGGGGTGCCAGCTCCTAGGGCATGGCCTCTTGGCTAGCTTACGATCTAAGGATCATGTACTCAGGCCTTTTCTCTCACGCTCTTGGATGGTGAAGACCGGGCCAGGTGGCATGAAACAGCGTGGAACTGGTTCTCAGCCTTCCAGGAACTCTGTGACTGAAATTGCCATATCCTGTATCAGTGAGTTGATACCCCATATAATCTCTTAATAAATAGATTCATTAGCGGTAATCTGTGGATTTCCAGTGGTGGTACTTGATGGTGGGATTTTGTTGTAGAGGGTTGGAGAGATGTCACAGCAGTTAAGAGCACTGTCTGCTCTTCCAGAGGTCCTGCGTTCAATTCCCAGCAACCACATGGTAGCTCACAACCATCTGTAATGGGATCTGATTCCCTCTTCTGGTGTGCATGAAGACAGGTCACTCATATACATAAAATAAATAATTTTTTTTAAATGGAGAGAAACCCTATCAATGTAAGCAATGTAGTAAATGGTTTAGTTCTTCCACTTCACTTCAAGTACAGGAAAGAACTCATAACATCTCACGAGAGAGAGAAGGCCCCTATACGTGCTCCTCAGGTCTTAAGCTATCCAAGAGGCCATGTCCTAGGGGCTGGTACTGCAAGATCATAGGTGGAATGAATACCCATTACACACCTCCTTAAAATCCTGTATCTTAAGATGGACAGTTTAATCTCAGAGGAATTGCTACACAATAATATCCAAAGGAAATGAAATGAGTATGCTAAAAAGATATCTGCACTTTGATACTTACCTCAACACTGTGTGCAACGGCCTTGGGATTTAGAACCAAATGTAGTCTAATAACTCATCAATGAACAAAGAATATGCTATTCACCATTTTCTGAGGAAAGAATCCTTCCATTTGAGACAACATGGATGAAACTGGAGGATAGTATGGATGAGCCTGGAGTAGATAAGCAGGTGAAGGAAGATGGATAATGTATGCTTACCCTTAAATGTATAATATAATAAAGCTGAACTCACAGAAGGAGTTGAATGATGATTACAAGTGCTTGGTCAAAGGTTCTAAATATATGGACAGGAGAAATAAGGTCAAGGGTTCAGTTGGTCCTCATGGTAACATAGCTAATAACAATATATTGTATACTTGAAAAAATGCTAAAAGAATGAAATGTAAGCCTAATTCTAATCAGAACAAGACAAATTTTACAGATTAACTGAATTTAACCATTCTACAATGTATACATACCTCAAAGGAAAATATTGTATATGATAAATAAATTAGAATTTTTTGTCAATGAAATAAAGAAGCCAGACCTGTTCATATACACTCCATTCCCAGCACTTGTGAGACTGAGGTATGAGGACCATCAGTTTGAATCCAGACCAATTGCACAGTGAGATACTATCTAAAAAATTAAAAAAACAAAAAAGCCCCAAACTAAATCCCAACATTTGCATCAAATGTGAATTGAAAATAAACTGAACTTATAATCAATGAAAATATCTTGCTCTCTTTTTGTCCCTTCCATTTAAATTGAAATACATACAAATACTTCAAGAAAAGTAGGCAGATTGCTCTAAACCAATTTAAACTTAAAAAAGAAAGCATCAGCATAGGCATGGGCTGTTCCCCCCATGAAGGACTGAGCACAGGAGGCTAGCTGGGGGCAGACTGGAGTGAGTGCATGTTGAACACTGATCACTCTGAAGATCCTCATCATTGGCAAGAGTGGAGTGGGCAAGTCCAGACTGGTATTGAAATTCACAAATGATACTTTTGATCCAGAACCTGTAGCAACACTAGGTGTTGACTTTAAAGTGAAAAGCAATTTCAGTAGATGGAAATGAGGCTAAACTTACAATAAGGGAAATTGCTGGCCATGAGAGGTCTAGAAGATTAACTCCCAGCTATTATAGTGGTACATAAAGTGTTATGTTAGTTTATGATGTCACAAGAAGAGACACCTTCATTAAACTAGATAGTTGGTTAAGTAAAATGGAAACATACCATACATGAAATGATATAGTTAACATAGTGGTTGGGGATAAAATTGATAAAGCAAATCTTGAAGTTGATAGAAATGAAGGCCTGAAATCTACATGAAAGCATTCCAAGTTATTTATAAAGGAAAGACTAAAAACCTGTGACTCTTCAATACATCATTGAGGAACTTGTTGAAAAGATCCCTCAGACACCTGGGCTATGGAGAAGTCAGGAGCAGAACAAAGAAATCCAGCTGACACCCAAGGAAGAGAACCATGGAAGAGGAACCTGTGGTATTACTCTTCTGTGTTATAAACTGGGAATTCCATCTCTTGCATGTTTAATCAGATACTGCCATTTCTTAACTGCTTCTTAGAGGCCTTGAAGTTTGCACATAATTATTTTCGTCATAGCAATGAGTATTTTCAAGAAAACCCATTCAAAAGCTTTCCCACATGAAGTGATATGGTAAGCATGTGCAGTCTTCCATCTGTAGATCGTTTTAAAACATAATCCTTTATTGATTCTTTGGGAATTTCACCCAAATCCCGCTCACTTCCCAGTCCCTCACCCCTGCAGCATGCCCCTCAATTAAAAACAAAACAAAACAAACAACAAAAACCCCACCTTGCTCCTCCATCTTTCCAACCCCTCTTTATTCATCCTAGTGGCATAAGGAACTACTGTGTGTCACACAGCATAGCATACCCTTTTGTCCAGTCATCCCCACCTACAAATGTTCATTTCAATGAGTCATTGGTCTGGTTCACGGTCTCTGGTTTCTGGTACACTATCATCACTGGACCCTCACCAAAACTTCTCTTGGAATTCCTGCTGATGCCCTGAGTCATGGAGAGCCTGTGGTTATTGTTCTGCAGGACCAGTCCCTTCACGCACTCCAGCAGGTCGTAGATGGGTTAGATGTTATGGTGGGCCAACCCAAGGCCCAGAATATGTGTCTAGGTGGTAGCTGAGCTGCTCAGTCCAGACCACTGGGGCTGCCCCCCTCAGGTAAGGGGCAGAGCCTGCTCTCCTAGGCCCATGCCATTGGGACCAGCTCTCCCACGCCAGTGGTGAGGGTGGGGGCCATCTCTTCTGAGTGCTGAAGTCAGCTCTCCCAGGGAGGGGGGCAGCACTCCTGCTGCGGTGTCCAGCGAGGGGCAGGGCCAGCTATCCCAGGGCCAGCGAGAGGCAGAGCTGGCTCGGCAGGGCTCTCAGATTTCAACACACATGGTTCCTATGACCTCCTGTGGTAACATGGGCCATGGACATCATCACAGACCCCAGCTGCAACAGGAACACGGACCCATACATGCCCTCAGCAGCAGCTGGGTCCCGGACATCACCATGGCCCCTGTGGCAGCACAGGCCACTCAGATCAGTATGGCCCTATTGGCAGCAAGGCCCTCAGACACCAACATGATCTCAGGTGACTGTCCAGACACTAGGCTTCTGCACAGCCCTCGGTGGCAAGGAGCTATAGATATCAACCCAGACCCTGGCTGCTGCTGGGCCATGGGCTCAGACATGGCCCATGACAGCAGCCTGGGCCCAGACAACACCATGGCCCCAGGTGGCAGTGTAGGCCACTCAGATTGGCATGGCCGCCCAAGGCAGAGTGGCCCTCGGGTGCCAACCTGGCTACAGGTTGTGGCCTAGACCCCAGGCATCTGTATGGCCTTTGGTGGTATCAGGAGACATGCATATCAACCCCGACCCTGGCTGTGGTAGGACCACAAACCCAGACATGGTCCTCATCAGCAGCCTGGGCTTAGATAGCATCTTTGCCCCAGGTGGCATTGCAGGCCATTCAGATCATACCATGGCTCCAGTGGCAGTGTGGCCCTCAGATACCAACATGGCTCCAAATAATGGCCCAGACCCTGGGCATTTGCATGGCTTTCAGTGGTATCAGGAGCCATGGATATCAACTCAGACCCTGGCTGTGTGGGGCCACGAACCCAGACATGGTCCTATACCACAGCCTGACTTGGATGTCACCATGGCACTGGGTGGTAGCACTGGCCATCCAGATTAGCATGGCCCCAGTGGCAGCATGAACCTCAGACACCAACATGGACTCAGGTGTCTGACCAAACCCTGGTCATCCACACAACCTTCGGTGGTTACTGAAGCCATGGACATAAACACAGAACCTGGCTGCTGCAGGGCCATAGGCCCAGACATGCCAGCCCTGGAGGTCATCATGCCCCCACTCCCACCCCTGTAGCAACACAGGCCACTCAGATCAACATGGTCCCAGTGGCAACATGGCCCTTGGACACCAAAGTGGCCCCAGGTGGCAGCCCAGATCTTGGGGCATCCCTGTGGCCTTGGTGGCAACATGGGACATGGATGTCAATATAGACCCAGGCTGTCGGAGACCCAGATATGGCCATAGGCGGCAGCCCAGGCCCAGATGTCACCCTGGTCCCAGGTGGCAAGCAGGCCACCAACATCAGCCCATTCCTCACTGCCCTAGCTTTCTCAGAACTGCCTCTTACCATAGCTCATGAACCATTCTGCCTCTTTCTCCCCCATTTCTCCACCATATACTTGCTCATCATAATGGCCCCAGTCGGCCTGTGGATGCTTCAGGTAGGCTGGACCGTTAGGACAAAACTGCCCTATTGGTGAAATTATTAAGGCAACTCCATGTAGTTAAAAGGGAGGTTTATTTTGTGGGGTAACTTACAAGTGAAGGGATAGGTAACAGGGACTGGGAAAGGTGTAGCACAGTCCGGCTGTGTTCTCTGGAGAACTCTGCTCAGTCTACCTCCAGGGTCCAGGGTCCAGGAACCAAGAGAGCTCCCCATCCAGATGTTGGGTCTTCAGGGGTCCTCTCTCGGCTCCGCCTTGTAGGCGTGACAGTTACCAAAGCCTCAAAGGGGGTGGTATTTCCAGTTCAAAGCTGGAATGACTACCCACTACATCTCCCCCTTTTGTCTAATAAGAAGGTTCTAACCGAATACAAGACTATATACAATAGGAATGATTATCAAATATTGTCCAGGAGTAATGAGGGATAATGACCTAGATAAGATGGAACTACAACCAATGCGAACAATATCAAACAAGAGACACATACTAAAATCCAGAGAAGTCTGGAGCATAGGTAAATGACATGTTACAAAGATCATTCCAAAAGGTGTCCTATCCTAAAGAACCTGAATCTAATACTTAATATGTTCTATCTACTAAGTTGTAACTATAACTGCTAGTCTTCAATCCCATCAAAGACCTGAGAAGGAATATAATGATACCTGAGAAATGGAAGATGGATGCAAGCAACTTTCAGGAGTCTTGCAAGAGTAGACAGAGACAGCTGGCAGCCTGGACAGTCACCTAATGTTTCTCAGCATTGTTGGTGCATTCAAATTGGCTACAGGCCTAGAGTATCTGATAGACCATTTTCAGAAGCAGAAATTCTGAGAGATCATCTTACCCTGTCTTGGCAGAGTTTAGAAGTCACTTTTCCTTGTGTCCCGCTCGTCCAGGAGTTAACCAGAGCTTTACTCCTGTGATGCACACATTGGATTCATGATCCATGATGTGGAAGATTAGTTACTTGTCACCTAACAGAATGGCAATAAGGCTTTCTCCCTCATTTGGGTTTCAGAAGAGCATGAATGGTGCATTGTAATACTTCTACTTAAAACCAACATCTTTTTTTCCCACAAATATTGGTAGTGTTTGTCTAGGTGCCTCAACTGTAGCTTGTGCAATATTTATGACTATGCATAGCTTATGGCTTCTGTAAACAGCTACTTGATACTAAAGAGACTGTGTCTGTGTATTAAAGATGAGGGAGAAAAACACTAAATGACAATTTGAGAAAAGCATATTGCTTCTAGATTCTGATGTGGGAAAATGCTATTCAGATGATCATTTACTGTAACAAGTATCTAATATATCTTAGTCACTGTTCTATTGCTGTGAAGAGACAGCATGACAACAGCAACTCTTATAAAATAAAGCATTTGATTAGGGCTTGCTTATAGTTTCAGAGGGTTAGTCCATTGTCATCATGGCAGGGAGCATGGCAGCATGCAGGCAAACATGTAGGAGGAGAAGCTGAGAGTTCTACATCTGGATCCACAGGTGACAGGAAGAGTGAATGGCACTAGACCTGGCTTGGGCTTCTGAAACTTCAAAGCCCACCCCCAGTGACACACTTCCTCCAACAAGACCACACCCACTCCACACTCACTCAAACTCCTAATCCCTCTTAAGTAGCATCACTCCATAATGACCAAGCATTCAAATATATGAGCCTATGGAGGCCATTCCTATTCAAACTACCACATTCCATCCCTGGCCCCCAGTAGGCTTGTAGCCATATCATAATGCAAATATCCACTCAGTCCAACTCCAAAAGTTCCCATAGTCTATAACAGTCTCAACACTGTTTAAAAGTCCAAAGTTCAAACTTTCTGATATTCATGGGAATCTCTTAGCTGTAACCCCCTGTAAAATCAAAATGAAAAAGCAGATCACATACTTCCAACATACAATGTCACAGAATATACATTACCATTCCAAAGGGGAAGCAAGGGAGCATAGTGAGGAAATACTGGACCAATGTAAGACCCAAACCCAGCAGGGCAAACTAAACTCTGCATCTCCATGTCTGATGTCAAAACACTCTTCAAATCTCCAACTCCTTTTTGCTTTGTTGACTGCAATACACTTCTCTCTTGGGCTGGTTCCACACCCTGTTAGCAGCTCTCCTTGACAGGTATCCCATGACTCTGGCATCTTGTCTCCAACATCTTGGTGTCTCCAACAAAATCCAGGCTTCATTTTCACAGCCTCATGCAATGGCTTCTCTGGACCTCCATGCAGGGACACCCCTGATGTATCCCTGGGAATCCAGCTCTTTTCTGAAGGGAAATGGAGTGGATCTGGAGAAAAGGGGTGGATGGGGAACTGGGAGGAGTGGAGGGAGAGGAGGCTGCAGCTGGGATGTAATATATGAGGTAAGAATAAATTAATAAATGGTAATAACTGATATGGAGAAAAATGCCATAATGTACAAGGCTAGGGAGTGTTAGAATGTAGGAATATTATTTTAGATGGGATTGTCAGAGAAATTCTCTTGAAATAAAAAAAGAATGAAATGAAATGAAGGAGTGAGGCATGACTCTATGTTGTAGAGTATTCTAAGCCTGAGAAAGAACAAATGAACTTCTTGGGTTGCTTCTAAAAACAGTAACATGACTGGTGTGGCTAAAATAGAGACATCAGTGGCTGGTGAATGGTAGAGATGACTACTTAGCATGTACAACACTTTGGATTTAGTCCCCAGCACTATAGGAAAAAAAAATGAAGAAAGCAAAGAAACAGTGAACAGAGTTATTTTAGTGTGTGAGACAGAGCCAAACCATGTGAGATACAGATTCACTGTGAAAAGGAGTTCGGATTTTATTCTGAGTCTTGTTGAAAACCATTAGAAGTGTTTGACAAATGGATCACTGTAATCTGGCGTACATTTTTTAAAGGATGAATGATTCTTGCTACTATGTGGACAAAAACTGTACTTTAGGGAAACATGAATGGAAATTCAGGTAATTAGTTGTAATTATAACACAACAATTCTCCACACATTGATGATATTGGTTTTGGATGAGGAGTTGGTTGTGGATAATGGTGGTAGTGGGCAATTTTCAGATATATTTTGAAGGTAAAGCAAATGGCTTTTATAAGTGGGTTGAACATAAAGTAGAAAGTGGAATCAATAATTCAGATGCCGAGTGGCTCTGAATAAAGAACTCTTAGTGAGATGGGTGGAGACTGGCAGGAACAGATGTTGGAAAGAAGATCAGGAGCTCAGTTCAGAACATACTGAGTTAGAGATGCCTTTTAGCTGTCTACATGTAGATTGAAAGTGAGCAGTTGGACATGTGCTTCTCAGATTTTTGAGTGAGATCCAAACTAGACATAGAAATTTAGGAAGCACCAAAATAGAGATGATGTATTTAAAGTTGTAAGAATGGATGTGACTAAGGAATATAAATACTGTTGAGCACTAGGGGAACACATTCAAAGAATGAACTTTGGGACATTTCAGTGTTGAAGTACACAAGATGTGAATGAACTTGTAAAGCCACAGAAAGCGAAGAAGCTTGTCTGGTCAGCTGTAGCCAGTAAGGTAGAAATGTATGAGAAATCCTTGCTCTCTTAGAAATGAAATGAAGGTATTTCAAAGGTGTAATGTCAGTGATATTCAACACCGGTGATTAGTAAAGTGGCCAAATAGTTTCTGAGGACAATCCTACTTTATGTTGGTTTCACAAGAGGTGATTAACAACACACTTTTTACTCTCAGTAGAGTCATTATTCAGATGGTAAATTATATGACCCCTATAGTGATAGGTCCGAAAACCTTTTCACTTTCACAACATAAAAACCATCGGCAGTCGAGATGAAAAAATTGCAGTGGAACAGTGAAACTTCATTGGATGTTGGAGAGTAAAGAGTGGAGTGGTTCCAAAAGGAAGAAGATCATGTCAGTGTGTTCATTACAGACACCTACGCTAGGGTATTTGCAGCAAAAGACGAGGAATGGGACAGTAGCCATGGAATGATAGGGGTATAGGGGAATTTTATCTTCAAAATGAGAGACAGTATAGCATATTTAAATGCTGATGGGACTGTTTTGGTAGAGAGGAGTCTGTTTCAAAATTATTTTAAAGACAAGTCTTATATTCATAGCAGAAGTAAGTGGAAAGAATGGCAATATCCATATATCTTGTATCTCTGTGCATATTCTTCCCCAGCTGCCAACAACAGTTGTGCAAGTGTGCATTTGTTACAACTGATCAATCTAGGTTGACACAGTATCATCACCCAAACTCTGCTTTTTACATCAGGACTCACTCATGATTTTATATGGTGTGTGCATTTGGACAGATATATAATATAGTGACATGTGTCTGCCATCATAATATCATACAGAATACTTCACTGCTCTATCTAAAATACGTCTGTTCATCTTTCTCTAACTCAACCCCTGGAACCATTTAATATTTGTATTGTTTTGTTTTGAGACAAGTCCTAACTATGTAGACATGACTAGCATGGAATTTGCTTTGTAGACCAGGCTGGCCTAGAATTTTGAGTGATCCTCCTGCTCCTGCTGGTATTACAGACATACATTACCATGCCTTGAAAAATAGTTTCTTTTCTTGAAGTGTTGGAGCTAGAACTGAAGACTTCTTGTACGCCAGGCAAGCATTCTACTGACTGAGGTACACCTCCAACCCTAAGCACTAACTTCTTTTTTCTGTCTCCATAGTTTTACCATTTCCAGATGTCATATAATTGGATTCAAATAGCATGTTGTCTGAGAGAGAGAGAGAGAGAGAGAGAGAGAGAGAGAGAGAGAGAGAGCCTTCCTATGGCTGGTATGTGAATGTCTTGGTGTTCTACTTGCTGTGAAGAGACACCATGGCCATGGCAACTTTTATAAAGGAAAACATTTAACTGGGGCTGGCTTACAGTTTCTGAGGTTTAGTCCATTATCATCATGCCAGAGAGCATGGCAGCACACAGGCAAACATGGTGCTGGAGAGTAGCTGAGAGTTCTACATCTGGATCCACTGGCAGCAGGAAGAGACACACAGTGACACACTTCCTCCAACAAGGACACACCTACCCCCACAAGGCCACACTTCCTAATCCTTTGAAACAGTGCCACTCCCTAAGCATTCAAATATATGAGCCTATAGGGGCTATTCTTATTCAGTGAAGATTAGAACACAATTTGTCATAGTTTGTTCTTTCCCTCTACCATGTGGATTTCATGTACTGAACCCAAGTCCTTAACCCCAAGGGCAAGTGTCTTTACTTGCTGATATTTTGCTGGTCTACATGTTGTCTTTTAACATTGACTTATTTCAAGACAAATACTGAATATTTTTGCTACTGTGTAGATTCCAGATTTAAATTTATTTGTATGTGTATATGTTTGGAGAGGTTATGTGTGTAGGACAAGAAATTAGAAAGGTGAACATGAGAAAAATGGAAGGTTTTGGGAGAATTAAGAGGAGGGTAATATAATATATGTGACATGAAAATGGAAAGGGTAGTACTAGATCCAGTCTGTAGAATATGAGTGGAAATGATATGAGCATTTCGTAACCAAGGATTTTAAGAAAGAGAATTACTTCTATTTTCCTGCCTTTTCCCATTTTTCTGCCTGAATGCAGGCCATGATGAGGTCTTCTCATGAAGAAGCAGAAGGTCATGGTTAGGTAATAAGAAATACCAAAAAGAAAAAACCCATAAAAAACAAAATGGTAATATGGACTTCTCACACTTTATATTTTGAGAAGTAATTTGGCATTCCATTCATTTATATCACTTTCTTTAATTGTGTACATTTAGAATTTCTTATCCATACAAATCTTGTTCACTCACCTCCTCAGTTCCTTTGATTGTAAACTTTTCAAGGAGTATTTCCCATGTTCAGAATTTCAGTGGTTTTGCCATGAGTCTTGCAGCTGCTGCTGCTGCCATTCTGAGCTTTCTTTCCAGGCACTTAAGTGCCTCCATCTGTTCCGTTGCATTTTCCCAAACAACACGCCTCTACAGAGCCTAGATGATGTCAAAACTAAGTAATAGTCCAAACGTGAAGCCATGTTGGAGGATAGAATGTTTTCCTTTGTTTGGAATACACTTTATCCTTATGTCAATAACACAGTAACGTGCTTTTGAGTTTATTTGGAACTCAGTGTTTCTGAGATCACTTAGAAACATGCCTGTGTTGTGACAAATGTATAGTTGAGGACTTGTGCTGGAAACAGGACAAAGAAGATTCCTAATCCCAGTGCTGCCATTAGAACAGCTGTGCTTCCTGGAGAGAAAGCATTATTCATGGACTACGGACATTGTTCCTAGCTCTGTTTTCCCAACTCACACCAGTTTCCTTCTTATTCTCCTTCTCTGTCTTCCTGTTATTTTGAGATCGAAAAATCATACTGTGTAACCCTGGCTGGTCTGGTATTTAGTATGCAGATCACGCTGGCCTTGAACATTGAACTTGTGGTGATCCTACTGTCTCTGCCCTCTACCCCAGGTGCTGGGATTACAGGTATGTACATAACTTGATTTGACATAGCCTGATATATATATATATATATATAGATAGATAGATAGATAGATAGATAGATAGATAGATAGATAGATATATATATAGATATAACCTGAAAATATTCTTAGATGTGGCCTCTCCCAGTTCTGTAAATGCCCCTTCTCAAGTTGTAGAAACAGACCAATATACTGCCCAGAGCATCTCTCTCCTGCACTAGAAGTACATATTCTTTGGGCATATTTCACCCACCTTTATTTACTTTGTCTTGACTGGAGAGATTCAATTTCCTGTGTATAGCATGTTAGCTTTTTATCACTATAAGAAAGTACCTATGGTAATCAAAATATAAAGAGGCAACTTTTTTCTGGCTCAGGGTTTTGGAGGTTTTAGTCCATGACCAAGTGACTGTAGCAAAGTAGCACATCGTGGCGCACACACAGCAGAACAAAACTGCTCACCTCAATGGCCACCTAGCAAGACAAATGAAAAAGGAGATACAGACTTGGGAGGGGGATAGCCATAATTCTAATTGGAGCATGAAGCTTCTGCAGTGTAAGTAAAGAAAAATAAGTTGTAAGAACACACAGAATTTGGCTCAACCTAATCTAGACGGGAGTTTGTTAAAGAAGGTTTAACCGAGGGATGTGGAGGTCAGTAGAGAGGCAAGTTAACCTAAATCTACAAAAGCAGATTCTTGAGAGGTACAAGAGGAGATGTTGTGAACCATAATGGCAATGGGTATGCTACTGTGCAAGTTTATGTGCAAATGTGAGGTGAAGTGAGATGAGGAAGAGAGAAGTGAGTATGGTGATTTAAGTGAGCATGGCTGCCTTTTTATACCAGGGTTAATGCTAAGGCCAGGTTGCACAGATACTAGAGATACTGGGTAGTAGAACAATAGTCATTGTTTTATGTTGCACTTGAGTGCAATTTTGAAGGAAGTAAATCATGTCTAGTGGTCATAATACAGGTCAGCATCTTCTGTGTAGTATTTGACCATAGATCAATAAATACTAATAAAACACACAAAAAGCTTCCTATAGGGCCTTTTTGATCAGTATCTCTTAGCCACTCAATGGCTTTAGTTTGTAAATGAATTGACAAGAGATTATGCAACAAATATTTCAACTATTGCTAGAACCACTCCTATCAATAAGTAAATTGGCGAAAAGATACTGGTACTTCGGGTTAGGGGCATGGTTGCTCACACATATAATCCCAGCCCCTCTGGAATCTGAAACAGAATTGTAAGTTTGAAGACAGCTTGGGCTGCATGGTAAACCTAAGGCCAGCCTGGGCAGCTTGATGAGACGAGTTTCCCAATACAATGTTTAAACAAGTGTTATGGATATAACTCACTGGCAGATTGCTTGTCTAGCACGCTCAAGGGCTTGGGTTCAATCCTCTGCAGCACCACAGCACCAAAAAAAAAAAAAAAAGACAATAAACCTCCACATATGTGAGCAAATTTTGTACTGGTGTTATTTTAGTTATGCTTGTGAAACAGAAGATTGGTGTTAATGCTGGTGAAACGTCAGACACAAAGTGAATCTTCTTCCTGGGCATTGACGTGCAGTAAAGATAGTTAAGGAAGATCAACATTATGAATAAGGACAGTGTATCTAGTTTGTTCCTGCTATTACAATTACTATAAATTTAGTGGCTTAAAATGAGAGACTTAATATCACAGCCCTGGATGCAGAAAGGGCCTTACTATTCTAAATCAAACAACTCCTTTCCTTCAGGGATTTCTATGAAAGACTCTATCTTTTATACCTTCTACAGACAGCCTGCATTCCATGGGCCCTGGCTTCTTTTCGTCTTGAAAGTCAACAATGGCTTTATTTTGCTTTACCAATGCTGTTTTCCTGAGACAGTGATTCTTAGGCCTCTGCCTGTCATACCTAAGTACCCTTGCAGTTACATCGGCTAGAATGACGCAGCATAATTTTGTGCTAAATTCCACTATTAACAACCTTAGTTCTACCAGAAACCCCAATGCTTCCTGGCCAAATAACATGTTTACGTAACCTGAGTATGGACTTGGGGATGTTACTCTGTGAAACACTGGATAGGTGCTTAAATGAATTTCTAAATGGATAAGCCCAGCAGCTTCAGTGCATGATTAATGCCATTGCTGTTTTCCCCACAAAGATATTGCTATTTAGAATGAAAAGCACGCACACACACAGGCGCACACACACACAGAGGCACACACACACACACACACACACACACACACACACACACACACACACACACACACACACACCACACACACACACACACACACACACACACTCACAGTGTGTGACAGAAAGAATTGATTGTTGGCCCAAACCTGTGGTTGATTTACCAGGCCAGGTGTAGTTTGGTCTCCCCTTTGGAATAGGGGCTATGGTGGGGGATGTAAAGGTAGCCCCCACTTCAGATCCCTTAGAGACAGATGTGCTCTCCTCCTCTTCATGGTTGCATGAACCAAAGAAAACATGGGAGAAACAACAGGAACCTACTGGCTGGCTGTTGCTAGGTCACCTGTCCCCTCTCAGGCTGCAGTACTGAGCCCCCCCTTCCACTGGCGTCATAAGAGGGGGGCAGAAGGGGGGAAGCAGAGAGGGAGTGGAGGGAGGGGCAGGCACTGTCCAGCCTCGTTCTGAGGTGCAGATGTACCAAAGGGCTCACTCAGTATCCATCCGCTGCTCCCTCCTGCTCCCCAACTCCAGACACCCCCCTTCATATAGTCCGCCCCCCCCCAACCCAAAGCCCTCATGGACCCTAGCTCTCAGCCATCCCACACACTGTAGTGGCGCCAGAAAAGTGGTGGTGGTCTCTGGTTAGGGCGAACAGGGGTCTGCAGAAGCCCACGGGCGCGACCCACCCCTCCGAGTGGAGGGGTGCTGCCTCCGGCCCCGCCCACTGGGAGTCGGAACTAGGGTGGGCCCGGGAGGGGGCGTCGAGCCCAGTGCGCCGTATCCCTCCGCCCCTTCCCGACACCCTCGAGGCGAGCTGCTCCTGCCGCATCCTGCGCAGCAGCCCCTGCCCGTTTGGTGCAGAGGCGTGGGGGCGGGACGCGGCTCTGCCATCGCACTCGCGCGCAAAGCGGCGGCGGCGAGAGCACTGTGCGAGGAGCTGCGGAGGACGGAGCACGGGCGGGAGCAGACGGGGACGCGGGGGAGCCCGGAGACCTGGGCCGTGCGCCTGGCCAGGCAAGTGGGGGTGTGTCGAGGGCTGGGGCGGCCGCGCACTGCGGACCACCGCCCGGCCCTGACAGTGCAGTGGAGGCGAGCGGGTCGTGGGGGCTCCCTGGAGTGGTGGCGGATCCCCGAGATCCTAGGCGGTGAGGAGGAAGCGGGAGCCCGGGTCGGGCCGCAGGCACGGGGGTGGGGGAAGGGCGGCTGGGTGTGATGGTCTGGAGTCTGGCGCGCCAGACAGCCTGACAGCCTCTCTTCAGGTGTCAGTCTGGGCCGTGGAAAAGATTATGGGGTAGGCGGCTGCGGGAGAAATGGCGGTGCGGGAATTGGGGGGGGGGGCGCCGGGAGCCCACGGGTGTGTGTATGTGGGGGGTGCGAGGCGGATGTCCAGTTCTGGGGCCAGCTCAGCTGGTGGGTGGTGAGTCGCCTTGGCTACTAGGGCTCTGATCTGTTTCCGGAGAGGGGCCCTTGTACCCTGCGCCCTGGGTGCTGTCCCTTCCCACAGGCTCCTGCTTGATGGCAAAGTCTCCTCTCTGCGCGGTAGGTCTGGCGTATTCTGACAGGCCACAGTGAGCATCAGTAGACCAGAGGCTTGAGGAAAGAGGAACAGGAAAATGGCGTGGATTTCTAGAGGTGTGTGGCAATGGGAGTGGGCGCCAGACAGTGATTGGAGATGCGAAAAGGGTGGGGGTGACAGACCAGAACAGGTGGGGTATCCATTAGTGTCTCCTAATCTCATTTCTCACAGCCTTTCAGGTATTTTCCCCAATGCCCTTTCCTCCTTCCCAAATTTGGGGTCTGAAAAGATGGTTTGGGCATGATGACGGAGTCATAAATCCAAGGACCACTTCAGAACCTGCCTTCTAGAATGTGCGGCGCCCTTCCCCCATTTTTTGCTGCGCAAGGCGAGGAAATGTGGCCACCTAGTGGCGCATCCTCAGAATTGCAGAAGGACTAATAAGTATGACATCAAGAAGTGGGTGTTACCACAGAAACCCTGCAGCCAGGCAAAATGGAACTAGAATGTTCCAGCAGTAGGACCCTAAATGCTGAAAGACACATGATCTGGTTCTTATCCTTGGTGGTGTTCTTCTCAGCCGGATCAGCTGCTGCCATCATTTCCCGATTGTCTTTCATTTTCATCTTTTTGTCCACAGGCCTGCTTTAAGGCTGGTAGTTCTTCAAGAAAGAAAGGAGGCGTCGAGGAGACTGTCTCAGATCTCTGGAGGTTGGTGAGACCCAGGGGCAGTGGAGGATCCAGGTACTGAGGAGACAAGTGCAGACTGCTGTAACTCAAGAGGGTGCATGATGTCTTTACTGCCCCCTACATTTGCCTACAGCTGCTGCCATCATTTCCCGATTGTCTTACATTTTCATCTCTTTGTCCACAGGCCTGCTTTAAGGCTGGTAGTTCTGCAAGAAAGAAAGAAGACATCGAGGAGACTGTCTCAGATCTCTGGAGGTTGGTGAGAATCAGGGGCAGTGTAGGATCCAGGTACTGAGGAGACAAGTGCAGACTGCTGTAACCCAAGAGGGTGCATGATGTCTTTACTGCCCCCTACATTTGCCTGGAGATGCTGCCATCGTTTCTTGATTGTCTTACATTTTCATTTCTTTGTCCACAGGCCTGCTTTAAGGCTGGTAGTTCTGCAAGAAAGGAAAGGAGGCGTCGGGGAGACTGTCTCAGGTCTCTCAGGTTGGTGAGACCCAGGGGCAGTGGAGGATCCAGGTACTGAGGATACAAATGCAGACTGCTGTAACCCAAGAGGGTGCATGATGTCTTTACTGCCCCCTACATTTGCCTAGAGATGCTGCCATCATTTCCCGATTGTCTTACATTTTCATCTCTTTGTCCACAGGCCTGCTTTAAGGCTGGTAGTTCTGCAAGTAAGAAAGAAGACATCGAGGAGACTGTCTCAGGTCTCTCAGGTTGGTGAGACCCAGGGGCAGTGGAGGATCCAGGTACTGAGGAGACAAGTGCAGACTGCTGTAACCCAAGAGGGTACATGTTGTCTTTACTGCCCCCTAAATTTGCTCACTGCCACAGCATCCTTTATTTCCTTTCAGAGATACTAGGAATGTTGAGGGAGATGTGAGTTAATCTGTGATCCAAAAGACTAGAGCTGAGAGCTGAGACCAGGGAACATAAACTTTAGATAGAAAGCAGGTGTGGTTTTGTTATTGTCTGTTTGGGCTCAGAGATGTGTGCCTATATACCAAGCATTGAGACTCCATTTTCTTTTATGCATTTGTAGGACTCCCTGCCCTTCTCTGTTGGTCTTAACACCACCTGAACATAGAAAAGAGGAGGGAATCGCCCCACATCGGTGAAGGTTGGTATGGGAGAGGGTTCACTTTTAGATGGGGGTAGTAGAGATCACCCAAGAGTGACTACTGTGAGATTTGGGGGCTCCCCTCTGTCTTCATTTCTCGCGTGTATACTGTTTGCTCACCCCCGTACCTGTTTTCCAGCAGGCAAAGGGAACACTGAGGTTTTCTCATAGCTGAGCTCTTCCACTCAGCATCCTGCACCAGTGTCTCTGTGTAAGTTTCAACAGGAGGCAACAGAATTGTAGAAAGCTGACTTCCTCTTTTTTTCTCTTCCTAGACCAGCTGCAGTGGCTGCTTGGTGGTGCCGGGGTTGCTGCTGACCAGCGCAGTCAACAGGTCTGCACCCACCTGGGACCTGTCCATCCTCCTCTGCCTTGGTTTCGCCTCTTCTGCACTGTATCTGTGTTATGGACTGAGACTGCTTGGGTAGGAGCCTCCTTGAGTGCTGGATTGACACTCGGGTCTTCTTTTCAATCTCCTAGCCTCGCGTACCAAAGAGTGTTGTGAAGACCAATCCTGTAACATAGCTATAGTGAGGTTTACTCTTGTTAATTGGTAGACATCGGGGCGTTATCTAACATACGCAATGACTAGGGCAGAGATGGAGCCTGGTGCCCAGGCAAAGACTGAAAATAGGCCTGGGGATGAGAATGCCAATACCAATGCTGCCGAGGTAGAGAATGAAGCCCCATTGGTGGTCAGACCCAAGGTTAGGACACAGATAATGCCTGGAGCAAGGCCCAAAGTGAAGCCTAGAGCTCCTCCTGGAGCAAGACCTAAGACTGAAGCCAGTTCACCAGGTGGGGCATATCCTAAATATAAGCCCAAGTCAATCCCTGTTTCACGATCGAGAAATGATGCCCAGGTCTGGGCCCCAAATAGGTTTCGGGCAGATCCCATGTCAAAGATGGGCAAGCAGGGTCAGATGAGTACTGCAAACTCTCCACTGGTCAGTACTGATTCTGGGGTGATTGCTCAAGCTAAGTGCCTGTCTGTTGATAGAGAACTTGGTAATATGGACACTGAGAGTTATCCCAGAAGGGCTAATTCTCAAGCAGGATTCCAGCATTCCTTTGGCCCAGAGGAGGGAACCAGTACGGGGACCTGGTACCGTTCCAGGCCTGCCCCCAAAGGAGAGGCTTCTGAGAATTCTGATTTCAGATGGGCAGATAAACCCTCAGGAAGTTCCTCCTTCTGGAATAGAGATGAACCCAGTACAAGATTCCGTCCTAGGAAAAACATGAAGGCCAATAATCCCAGGTTCAGACACATGGCCAAACAGGAGACAAATACCATGCCTAGGCACAAAAACAAACAAGAGTTCTATAATATTTCTAGTTCTGATTCTGAGGATGAGTCTGCTAAGACTCCCTGGTTCTGGGCCAAAGAAAAGACCAAAGTCTGGTCTAGGCCCAAAGAAGAGCCCAATAATAGGTCCTGGTTTAGGCCTAAGAAAGAAGTCCATGCTGAATCCACTTCTGGGTCTGAATGTGAAAATCATCCAAAATCTTCATTCTGCTCTGGAGAAGAGGCCAAATCTAGAACCAAACCCAGAGTCAGGAAAGGGGTCAATATGAGGGCCAGACACCAGGCCAAGCGAGAAGCTTACAATGATGGCCCATCTGGATCTGTAGATACCAGTAAAAAAGAGTCCTGGTTCTTGCCTGAAGATAAAGCTAGTGCTTTTGCAAAGTCTAAGATAAAGAAAGAGCCCAGAACCAGAGCAATGCCAAAGGAAGAAGTCAAAACCAAGGTCAGAGCAAGTACCAAACAAGAAGCCAGGTCAGAGGAGGAAGTCCTCGTTGGAGCTTGGTTCTGGGATACCCAGGAATCCAGGATGGTAGATAGGGTAATCACCAAGCCCAGTCTACATGTAGAGGAGGAGCCCATTGTTGGAGATTGGTTCTGGAGTGAAGAAGAAGCCAGTGTGGACTCTGAGACTTGTTGTATATCCAGACCAAGGGCTAAGGAGGACCAAGTTAGTACTTTCTCTTTAGGTTCTGGGAAGAAGACCAGTATTGAAAATGGGCCTAAGGCTACCTCTAAGTCTGTGTCAGTAGCTAATGAGGAGGAGAACATTATTGGGTCCTGGTTCTGGGCAGATGATGAAGATGTCAGCTTGCAGGCTGAGGACGAGTCCATTTTTGGATCTTGGTTCTGGGGCATTGGCGAGAACAGCTTGAGATCTGTTAGAGTCGGTTGTGAGAAGATGCCAAAGTCTGAGGAAAAAGAAGTTACTGATTCCTGGTTCTGGGCTGGAGAAGTCAGTACAGAGGCCGAGGTTGAAGAACAGGCCAGGCCAGCATCTACAAAAGGGACAATCTTTGTGCCTTGGTTTTGGTCTGAAAAGCAGGCACATGTGGATTTAGGAACTGAACCTTGCTCTGACATCATGGCAGGAGCTGAGGAAGAACCCATAATTGGGCCCTGGTTCTGGGCTAAAGTAGACACTAGTGTGGAGGCCGAAGTTAACAGTAAGTCTAGCCTGGAGGATGAGGAAGAGCCCATTATATCACCTTGGCTTGGTGCCAGAGAACAAGCCAATATGAAGTATGCAGCTGGGGCCAGATACAAGCCTATGGCAGAAGCTGAGGATACTAATAAAGAGTCTTGCCTCTGGGCAAAGGAACCCAGTTTGTATCCTACCAATAGAGAAAGCTCGAAGTCTGCTCTGAGAGAGCAAGGGGACACTGTTGATTCATGGCTCTGGTCCAATAATTATCCAAGGACAGAGACCACTGCAGGGTCCTGGTTATGGGCTGCAGAAGAAGGAAATATAGATGATGAGACAGGAGAAGAGATTAAGCTACCAACTTTAGAGGACAACATATTCAGTTCTTGGTTCTGGAAGGATGATGAAGAAACCGTTGTAGAGGCTACCAACATACAGGAATCCAGGCCAGAAGCTGAAGAGGAAGACATTATTGGCTCTTGGTTTTGGGCTGGAGATGAGGACAAATTCCAGCCAGCTACTGAGATTCATGAAGAGAACAAGACAGCATCTGAAGAGGAAGATGCAGTTGGATCCTGGTTCTGGGGCAAGGAAGAGGCCGGTCTAGAGCCAATGAGAAGGGGCACTTTTGAGTCCGCTCCTGGAATTAAGGAGGAGGAAATTATTGGGTCATGGTTCTGGAGTGGAGAAGCCAAAATTGGGGCTGGGTCACAGACAGTCGAAACTGGGTCAGAAACTGAAGAGGAGGCAATTTTTGAGTCTTTGATCTGGGCCGCAAAAAAGAACATTGTAAGAGCAGGAGTAAACCGTGTGTCCAAGCCAGAGGGTGAGGGCGAAATGGTTGTTGAGTCCCAGTTCCAGTCTAGTGACAAGGCCACAGAAAAATCTGAAACTGTGGTTATCAGTGAGTCCAGTCCAGAAAATAAGAAAGGGCCAATTGTTGAGTTTGGGTCAAGAGCAAAGGATGAGGCAATTAACAAGACTGGCAGTGGAGATAACTGTGAAGTTAATACAGAAGCTGAAACCATGGTGGGATCCTGGTTCTGGGAAGGGGATGAAACTGGCTTTGAGTCCAATCCTACCCCTGTGTTCAAGGCCACTTGTGAGCCTAAGTCTTCAACTGAGCAGGAACCTGATCCTTCCCGCAGACCCCAGAGCTGGGATGAGGTCACTGTTCAATTTAAGCCTGGTCCATGGGGAAAGGCTGGCTTCCCGTCCCTAAGCCCCTTCAGATTTCCAAAAGAAGCAGCATCTCTGTTTGCTGAAATGTTTGGGGGAAAACCTAGGCTTGACAACCTTGGTCCAGAAGGAGAGCAGGAATCTTCAGGTCAACCTGAATCTGAGTTCCCATTTCAGTATGATCCCTCTTACCGATCAGTCCAGGAAATTCGAGAGCATCTTAAGACCAGGGAAAGTGCGCAGCCTGAGAGCTGGTCCTGTAGCTGCGTACAGTGTGATCTTAGAATTAGTTCTGAGGAGTTTGAGGAACTTCTTTTAATAATGGACAGAAATCAAGACCCCTTTATTCATGAAATATCTAAAATTGCAATGGGCATGAGAAGCGCTTCTCCGTTTACCCGAGATTTCATTAGAAACTCGGGTGTCATCTCACTGATTGAAGCCTTACTTAACTATCCATCCTCCCGAGTTAGGACAACATTTTTGGAAAATATGGTTCGAGTGTCTCCACCTTATCCAGATCTGAACATGATTCAGACATACGTGTGTCAGGTTTGTGAGGATACCTTTGATTATGACTTGGATTCCTCTGATCAGTTGTCTGGATTGACAATGATTACACATCTCACTGCTACTTCTGACTATCATAAAATGGTTGCCAAATATTTGTCTGGCTTTTTCTACTTACTAAGTTCAGGCAATACTAAAACAAGGCTTCAAGTTCTGAAATTGCTACTGAATTTGTCTGAAAATCTTGCCATGACAAAACACCTGCTTACTACTGAGTCAATGTCAGAATTTATGGCCCTCTTTAATAAGGAGGACTCAAATGACAATGTTCAGATTGTTCTTGCAATATTTGATAATATCAGTAAGAATATACAAAAAGAAGCACTATTTGCTGAGGATGATGATGATGATGATGTGGTGGTGAATCTTGAACCACTTATTTCTGCATTCCAAGAGATTGAGAAAATTGCTAAGCAACTGAAACGCAATC